TCAGGACGGGACGACCGCCACCCGGCTCCCACCCTCCCCCTCACCACCCCACCCGACCCGCCCGCCCAAGGCGGGCGCGCCGAGGCTCGGGTCACAAACAGTTCCTAGAAGTGCCCGGCACCAGAACCGACGCGGAAGCCGGTGGGACGGGGCGGACCGGCGGTACGGAGCGCTGCTGCCGGCTCAAATTCCAGTGCGCTTGATGGCCAGAATCCAGCCGTCGGGACGAGTATGGCTCTATTAAACGATTTGCATGTCGAGAATGACTTTCGGAAGCGCAGCTCACAGGGTGAAAACATACGTTTTTTTCCTTTTATTTGTCCCTCAGCATGAAACGCCAGCGAAGCGGATATGCCTGGGCGCGGAGTGGGGCATGTGTTATCATTACGCAGGAGTTGATTAGTTTCATTTATATTTCTTGCCGGACGAACTTCAAAAACGGGCAGTGGGCTGCGTCTGGCTGATGATGACCGGTGTAGCACCGCAATGCAAGTACCGCAAATGCATTCCGTTAGTCTAGAGGAGGGAGAGCACGGAGAGCACACCTGCGCACGTGGACGCGGCGCTCGGGTTTCAGGTCCCGTTCCATTCCTGTTTTCGCCATCCGTCAGCCATACCTGAAAGGACGCTCACAATGCTCTAGGTAAGCCAAACAACTCCCCGCTATGGTGGACACAGGCTGGATTTGCCGTTCGTGCCGGTCTGGTGGTCGAATACTCTCTCTGGCACGCACCCCTCGTTCAGAGAGCAGTGCGGCGCTCTGTTGCTCTCAGAGCGCAATGGAGCACAGAGATTGTACTTGACCGCGACGTTTGGGCCGGCCAGCCAGGTGACGAAAAGAGCTTAAATGTGCCAACAACGGGACAAACCCTTTCGGACCGACCGCTAGAAGCCATTTTACCGTGCGGGCCAGCGGGATAACGGCCTAACGGTGCGCTTACCGCAATGAGCAGCCTTTTTCCGTAAACACGTATGGACGGGGCCGGGCCAGACATAACAGTCTGGTTCAGGTATAGATTTGGGCCAGGTGGCGCAATGGGGCAATTCAAATTATCTCCCACTAGATGTCTCCGCATGTTGAGTTTCCAAACGCCGTTGCAGAACAAATGGTGACGACGCTACGGTTTCAGCGTTCTGTTATTTTTACTGGAGAGGATCGCTGCTGCTGATGTATGTACTGCGGACATTATTGCTTGGGAGAGCTTGGCACGACTTCCATTACCAAGGAGGTATGTCGTGCGTACGATGACGGGCAATAGATACGTTACTATGACGTTGAAGGAAATCATTGCTGAATTCATTGAATCATTTTCATGAGTATCCTTTTTCGCAGTTATCTTTCGCTGCTCTCCTCTGCTCTGGTGCCATGGAAGCAGTCTGTTGTTCTTAATCCTCCCAAGCACGCTTGGACAAGTGCTGTCGCTACAGACGATTATGCTCAGCTTTGAAAGCCCATTAGAAAACCGTATACCAAGCTCCACCCATATAGATCCTATGTGCGAGCAACTTTTATCAGCACATCATTCAAGCACGAAGTTCTCTCAAGCATTACCGCGGCATCATGGCTTACCTTTTTGTCACGTGTCTTCCGAGCCGTGTAACTCCGGCTTCGATCTCCGAATTATGTCCAGTTTTCTTATGTATTAGCACTGCTCGCTGCACACTGTGATATGCTCCAGTACAGACCAGAGCAGACGCCAGATCCATGTATCAAACTGGAGAGGCAGAGCGGTTTGGGTTTGTCCGTACTGACACAAGGCGTCACTGTCATATCACTTTTCGAGAAACCCTGATTCTCCAGCCTAAATCCAGCGTGTCCAAGCTGGAAACTTGAGTGCATGTGGCTTCGTGACAAGTTGTGCGCAACCCAACATGAACAACGCAACAACGCAACAACATGAACAAACCCGGCAGATGAAAACAGTCAGCACTGTACATGACGAGCATCAATCTTTCATTTTACCTGGCACGCACAGCCTGGCGCGATCGTGCCTGGCTTTCATCTTGACTTTGACGAAAACAGGACATTGCAGAAATCGTCTCGCACGACATCGATCAAAAGATTATTGCAGGACGAAAGTCAAACTCTCCATAATGCCGTTGATTGACAGTTTGCCGTTGGTGCTCATATCGTGTGAAAGCACGTTGCTATTTCTAAGTGTAACACCTCATTTCGATCAATCAGCTGAGGACTCTGGCACTTTTGAGTGTCACACAAGTGTGCTCCCACCTCCGGCTATACGTGGCGGTTACGTAAATGCAACAAGTCCGATGTATGGTACCTTGTGTTACGATTGGCTAATCCGCAGCTGATTTGGGTGCATCACTGATCCTTTGTCGTTGAAAGCTGGTGTGAAACACTCTCTTGCTGAGAACTTTCTTCTCAGAGCCTTCTCAGAACCACTCCCTGAGTCATCGGTGTACAGCTCTGACGATATTTCACTGAACTCCCTTGCGAGTCTTCGGCATGCAACTTTGACCCATTCTCGCCCAAACACCCGCGTGAGCCTCCAACGCGAAACGCCGCCCCTTTTTTGCTGCACTCGTTCGCGAGTCCTTAACATGCAGCTATGACATTGGCTCGCTGAGCCACTTCGCAAGTCCTCGAGATGTCACTCTGACCCCTGCACCCTGAACTCCCTCGCGAGTCCTCGAAATGTCACTCTGACCCCTGCACCCTGAACTCCCTCGAGAGTCCTCGAAATTTAACTCCGACCCCTGCACCCTGAACTCCCTCGAGAGTCCTCACTATGCAGCTCTGGTTCTCCCTCTCTTAGTCAAACGTTTGCAAGTCATAAATGCGACAACTCCAACAATATGTAAGACATGACATGATATCTAGCCCATATGTCGGATGACGAGGCCAGGAAAGGAAGCCAGGACACTTTTTCGACGTCAATTCACGGGGCACTTTTAAGGGTTGTTAGGTGTTTCAATATCTCTGCTTCCCGTTTGTATCTATACCGAAATTGGCTTAGCGCTGGAAGAACACCTGGACTTTTTACTGACCACTGTTCATGAATCGCAAAGCGCACCTTGTCTCACAAGTTTGGGGTGGCTGTCGCTGTCCTCTCCATTCCGGCGCCCTTGTCCGTTTGTCAGCGTTTGTTCGCCAGCGATGCGTTCCGATACGAAGCATTGATAATAGAATGAGGATGCCCGGCCCGCGTACGTGTACGTCGCTTGACAAAGCCCTGACGATGGCATGTGTTCTATTAGTGCCCAGGGGTCAGCGCGTCGGCCGACAGCCGGACCCGGACTTCCAACGACGACGCTGTTTTGGTGCCGAATGAGCTATGTGGCCCTACCCATTCGAAACAAAATCGCTGCGGTGGGGTGCGTAATTAACACTTGGAACAAGGGGTAAATCATTAAACCTTTCACACTCTCCTGTGATGGACAAGTGGTTGTTCTGTGATAACGCAAGGTCGAGCATCGATTGTAACAGTCAGCCACGAATGGAGCTTCCTAAACCGTCTGTTGGAGCATTGCAGTTCCCAATTGCCGTTTTGTCGGAGCATTGCAGTTCCTAATTGCCGTCTTGTTTAGTGTCTTGTTTTTAGCTGCAGTCTTTGTTACCTCAGTTTGATTGGCATCCGACTTTGAGGCGTTCGAAGTGCTGATGTTCTCAACATCTGTAGTTACATGTATATGCAGCTCATACAGGTTCGCAATTCTGGAATATCAGGAAAAACACCAACTCATTAAACTAAGCAACTATCCGTGCCCACGTATGTCCAGCAGACTACATGGTCAACAGGGGTGCGTCTGAGCACGAACAGGAATCAACGGGGTGTTATCGCTGAAGCAGCCTAGAATGCTTGTTTGTTATCGGTGGTTTGCTACATTAAGGTGCGTGTGATTTGGGCTGCCATACCGTTTTTCATTTCCGTTCCACTTCGCATAGCATCGCTACGCCACGCAACAAAGATAGCCAGCGTGGGTGGCCTTTAGGACGAAGGCGAGAGCGTGTGCATAGACTCAGTCCCACGCAGACATGGGCTGGAGTCTGACTGCACTCGCACTTAGATTTGGGACGTTTTTGGGACATAGACTGTAGTTAATCGGCTCACTTAATATATGAACCGAGCCTGGGTTTGGATTCGCCACTTTAAAAATATCCCCTCGGACTCCGATTAAGACTCACAGTATTACCGCTCGCTGCGGATTCGGTGATTCAGGAGGCTGAGATTCGGAAAAAACTAGTTTTGGTTTTGATTAGGTTGGTTAGATTAAACTGATTTGCTCTAGGCTATGGAAAATTCAGCATCGGCCAGTGTCACGTTATAAAGGCATTCATGCCATGTCTGCATGGCAAGACGTTTTGGCTCAGACTCGGACCCTAGGTTGGATGCTGACTCAGCATCTAAGAATTCGGTCGCAGATTCAGGCCCGTGATACGTGGCAATCGCTTTGCTAAGGCTGAGACTTGTACATGAAGCGCGAGATTGTCACTCAATCTCGCTGCACCAGCACCTACCAGCATTCACAAATCTGTGTATCGGTAAGCACAAGCTGGTGTTGCATGGAATAAGTAATGCACAGCCAAAACGGAGTTTATCTCACCATCCGGCGGGTGACGGGACACAGTCTCGGATGCAGCACATTTTGGATCATGAACAGACAGAACAGATTCGGTGTCGCTCCAGCTGGCAGTGGAGCGTTTGGTAGCGATCTCAAATGATCCGATGTCGCTCCAGTTGGCAGTGGAGCGTTTGGTAGCGATGTCAAGTGATCCGGTGTCGCTCCAGTTGGCAGTGGAGCGTTTGGTAGCGATCCGCGCTGATTCCTCAGTCTCAGCTCGTTCGCGGCGCCGATGGTGACGTCACGGCAGGTGCGGCAGGTCGCGTGACCTGACCTCTGGCCGCGGGCGCCGCAGGATCGGCAGCGGTCAGTCCTGCATGACAGTCCGAGCGCGGCGCCCGGGCTGGGCCGGTGCTGTGGCGTGGTGTGGCTGGCAGACGCTGTGCAGAACCCGGTGCACCCAGCGACCACTTTGAAAGTCTCGGGTCTAATTTTGCAGCCAGCTGCTTCCAAAAACTAAGTTGGCTAAATTTGGTATTTTAACTCCCCATTAAGCACTGAAAATGTATTTTTGTCTAATTCTTTACCGAAATTGCCCAGTGTGCGTAACAGTCAGAAGCTCCATGTTTCCAAACATTCCAACCCTGGCTCTGAGTCACGGATATATCTGCCAACTTTTTGAATAGGAAAAGGTAAGACCCATTTTCTACTGCGACGGTGACCCTTTTCAGTATTCAGACCATCATGGCTGGTTGTTTGGCAGTGTGCTCGGTAAACGGCTGAATGGAGGACGAATAAAACGCTCGGCTATCGACATACAGTTCCCATATAACTACAGGGCTTTTGTAGTGCGATATCTGAAAATGGGATGCCTATCACCGCACACGCCTTGCAGTGATCGTAAAACAAAGTGCATTTGAATGATTTTCCCCTCGGGTTAGCTCTTCAACTCCAGCGCATTTACATATATACTATTAAAGTATTCGCGCCGAAGCTCGCCATTCGCTGCGAGCGGAGCCACGGGGCAGAGGCGCAGTCAGGATCTTTTTCAGGGGGTGGGTGTGCGGAGCCCAGTGAGAGCTCACAATGCCTGTAAGATGTTTTGTCACAATCCGTCTTAGGTGCTTAAAAAAATACGGACCTGGGGGGGGGGGGGGGAGAGAGGGGCCGGGGCCCCAGGCTATCAAAGCCTGGCTGCGCCTCTGCCAGGGGGCCGCGCGGGGGCTGTGACGTCACTCTAGCTCCGCCCCCGCGACGGCCGATTGGTGCGAGAGAGGCAGGGTCAGGAAGGTGACGCCAGACCAGGCCAGAGAGGTGACGGTCAGGGCTGGTTGGAGAACGAGACGGTCAGTCCAGGGCACCAGGGCAGGGCAGAGTTGTCTTTGCTGGCCGCCGCATCCGCTGCCGCCTGCTCCTCGACCCCGACCCGGCAGCTGAACCGAGAGGCAGAGTGCAGCTTCCGGAGCTCACACAGCCACACCGCGGCCAAGCGACAGGCGAAATGCCGCCGACCGAAGGCCTGGCCCGACCGTCATCCGGCGTGGTGAGTGTGCACCGCCACCCGGCGACGGTGATGGGACCTCAGCTCGTCTAGTCTCGTTCAATCGCATTGTGAATTATAGGCCTTCACAACTGAAGTATGATACGAATAGTAAGAAGTGCATTGGTATGTTTTGGAAGATAAATTTTGAATAAAATGAACATAGTGTAATACAAGACTTCAAACACAAATGTCTTCAAAAATAATTTTCATGAAATATAGCCGATTTTTTAAAATCTGTCATGTTATCTTTGCATATCACGCAGAACGTCTTTTGTTGTTTAATTTTTCTCATTTGGATTTCTCTTGGGATGTCCGTCTAGTGGTGTCGTTCTCGTTCCAAGTAATTCATGCCATATTAGTTGTGTTTATGTTAATCTGGTAGCTGCGCCTGATGTGTCCGATAATGCATGGCCGTGCACGTTCGTGCAAGATGCCTGGTTCGCGTGTGACCGGTTGGACGCCTGCCGCCGCTCTAGCCTCTTCCTCTGCCATGTCTCCGTGACGGTTTTGCCTGTGAGATGTGAAGCCTCGCACACCTTCCCATGACGAAATCGGAGGACAGTTGGATCCTACAACTTTTGCGACGAGAACACCACTTGGTTTGCATAGGCTTGCGAAGTAAATGTCATGTGTCATCCCAGTTAGAATTGAACTTTCGCACATTAAACTCTTGCCGCCAAAGGCTGCCGTTGACCTGGCATTGCGCGATCGTATGGTATCGCCAGTGCTCGCATAACGAAAACCGCTTAGCGTGAGCTCTGCTCCGAGAAATACGTATGTTCAACATTTCGGATTAGTTTTAAGAGATAAACAATTACATGGAGTTTGGCTTCACTGCCCATGAGAACTGAGAATGCGCCGCAGCGGATGCTCGGCCCAGCCCCGGCTCCCACTGAGGCACGGCCGGTGCCCGGCCGTTCCGCCAATCACAGCGCCCCGTCCTCACCCTCGCCCAGGCATTGGTCGGCGCCCGTGAACCGAAGCAGCCCGAGTTACGAGAGATGGGAGCAGCATGACATGGCCGAGCTCGAATCCCTGCGGAGATGCCCCGTCTCCGGTTGACGCTGCTCAGCTTGTCGAAAAAACATTCTGATGATATTCTTTGCCAGGTTTCTATCATTTTTACTGTTGATGCAATTTTCTTAATTTTGTTATATGCACACAAACACACACACACACACACACACACACACACACACACACACACACACACACACACACACACACACACACACACACACACACACACACATATACATACATATATATATATATATATATATATATATATATATATATATATATATATATATATATATATATATTACTGCAACAGAAGAAATCGATAATTGACGTGTTCTAACGCTCCACTTGCTTGCGATGGGGCTGGAAAATTGGCACCGTCCTTTGGTATACTCCAATTCAAATAAAGCGATATGATTTATCTTAAGATGCATTTTAGTTAGGTTTATGTGGTCGTTACGAGTCCCATCCTCTCACGCAGATTGCGGTAGGTCTCGGCGCAACACCAGCTTACTATCCAGGCTCGAACCGATGACGGGACGCACGGCCGTTTCAAATGAGGCCGGGATTCCAACTCACCTGTTTTCACTGGTTTCTAAACTTACCCCCGAGGCCTGATTTGTCTTTGGATATCGGTCACCAGAATTTACGTCCTCGTGTGTTTATTTGTTTAAAGCAAATTGTTGTGTTTGTAGATTCAAAATTGGTTTTCTGCGCAGGAATGACTCCCCATTTCAAGCAAACGTGAACTGCCTTTTGTGACAGGCTTAGAATGACGTGTATTTCACACAAAACATCGTAGTAAATCGTAATAACGGATCACTGATGACGATCGCTCTCGCTGGTCTTGTTGCATAACCACCACAGCCATGATTGTGCGATAAACACACTTATCGCTGTTGGAGAAAACATGCGGTAATTTTTATCTGGATCAACCTGTGCTTTTAAAAACTGCCGCATATGACAGTGAAGTGTTTTTCATCCGATCCCAGACGTAGTCATCTGAAAAACGCGTCAAACGTTTCCAGCCTGGCCTAACATATAAACGAGTTAGGTGTATGCATCCTGTATTCGCAGTAATCTCGAATTATAATGCTTGAGATAATGTGAACATTTCGGAAAAATCTTGTATAGCAAAATAGGTCGCACGCGCGTGATTTTGACCTAACGTGACTGTGGGCACCTTCCCTGCCCTCTTGTGTGGGACCGTTGCTGGACCGTTAGTCGACCCGACCCGGGCCTCCTGTCCCCCGGCGGCGGGCCAGACGGGGAAACACTTCCAGGAATGGGAACAAGACAGCGCTCACCGCTCGGTGCAAACATGGGGCGCCTCAGACCGGGGGGCCGCGGCCGGCCCGGTCCGGTGAGCGCGGACCGGCCGGACTCGGAGCCTGAAATGGAGGTGACGAGAGGTGTGCCAGACAGGCCCGCCGGCGGCCAGGTCGGGACGGACCCAGGCCCAACAACAGGCAGCACGCGGGAGCAAGGTCAATTGAATGCGGGTGTAATGCGAGCGGTTAGCTGATGCGCTTAACCAGAGCCTTCTGGTGTTGCTTCGACCTGAAGCCCTGCTTTCTATTTTGAGACTACTTGCCTTTGCTTCCGCTGGTTAATTGAAAACCATCGAAGCGAGCAGAAGCAGGTGCTACTAATAGATCGATCGACGACGATCCAGAAACGCCTGCTTCCCGTTTTTTTTTTTTACTCAGGGTCGTGTTTGGGCTGCCCACGAAGTTCATATCGCTTAATTAATGATTAATCATCATTTAATTCATAGATGCACATTGAGCCAATTCGAGGTAGATCACTAACAACGTGGAATAAAGAATCACGATTCGCTTAGTCATGTTATTTCAAGCCACAAATTTAGTATCAGCGAAATGTTGCTTCTGTGAGAGGCATCCCAACACTATTGGCTTCTTCACCGGCGGCTCCAAGGCCAAGCCTATCTCAGTGTCATGAGTCACTTATCTCGAGGACAAAATCCCATATTTGGACAGCTCAGGCCAGTCTTATTATGCAAAATATCTTCGTTTTGTTGATTTGTGCGTTGCGGTTGTACAAACCGCAGCGCACTATATTCCATAGATTTCGTGTCATTAGTGATTAAGGCTCCAAAAAGCATAACAATAACTGGTTTAAGATCTCCACTCTTAAACGGTACGATGCAAAATTGCGTAAGCCGTGGTGAAGCGTTCTGAACCTCCTCACAGAATGGTGGCCTACACCTGGCGGAAGGCTGCGTAGTTACCGGATCTCCGTTTCAGTCGACGCTCGACCAGCCGTGCGCTGTTTGCAATGTCCCTGCTGCCGGCTACCACTTCGGCGCCTTCACGTGCGAGGGCTGCAAGGTACTGAGCGCGTTTGTGCCCACCTTGACGAACTCGCACCCGCCCAAATGTAAACAACAGCCACGACGCCCAGGCGCGTACCAGGCGCGGATAAATGCGCACAAACAAGCGCATATTTAGAAGTGTGGGTATAGGCGATGTTGTTTTCACGGCCCATGTTCTGTGTCCGGTTTGCATCCATGGTTAACTTGTTAAGTTTCACTCGACCTTGCAGTCATTTTGACGCTAGCATCATTCAGTTGTTTGATTGATACACAAATGCAGACCAAAATCAATACGTCTATGTTGCGAAAGCGTTTCAGCCGGGTATGGCACCACAGAAGTAGTTCCGCAGCCATATTTGTGCCGTAACAGCTCGGGGCATTTCCAGTCATTCTATGGCCGGACATACAAGCGAACGGAGAGGGTCGAACCCTGCCGCTTCAACAATCAGTGCGACATCACGGGTAGGAATCGCACCTCGTGCAAGAGCTGCCGTATGCTCAAGTGCAAGATGGTAAGTCTTCTAGGGAAGAAAAGTCATGAAACATGGGGCATGCTGGGCAGTATTATGAAACCATGTGAACGGCTTGAGCTCGCCCACCAATACAGATACAATTAAGTAAATTGCTGCAATATGGTGGAATGTTTAAGACGTGTCGATCCTTTTTTATTACTATCGTCATTGCTGAAAGCATCGATACAAAAATCAAAGCATGCGCTCGAACTTGAATTCAGTACCGATTTCATAGCAAGCAGCCACGACCGCGAAAACTGTCCTGTCGATCCGTGCCTTTGTCCAGCCCCAGCCCCGGCCCCGGCCCCGGCCCCGCCCGCTGATGCGGCCGCCTCTGCAGGTGGGCATGAGCCGGGCGCACTCGCGGTACGGCAGGCGCTCCAACTGGTTCACGATGAACGTGGCCAACGCCAGCGCGCCCGCTACCCCGGCCGTCCGTCAGCAGGTCGACCAGCTTCTGGACCAGGAGCGCCGTGACGTACAGCGCCACGCCGAGCGCTTCCGGCAGCTGCAGCAGCTGCGCCGCGAAACGGCTGCCGCTACACAGGTACCGCACAGCTGTGACGTCACCGACCGCGGCATGGCAGCACTCAGCGATGTCATTCGCTACCTTGTGACAGTGCCCAGGCAGGGTAGTGGTTTACAGTGCTGCTCAGGAATCCTGAGCATCCTGATCCTGATCATCCTGAGTCACGATGACTTCGTACCGTGGGACTGGACATTACTGATTTAGCTGATGTGCGTAACGATCAAGGGGATTTCATAATGAAGGCTGGCTTCATCTCTTAATTAATTGGCAAGGTTGCAGTTGCATTAATTTGAAAGTTTTTCATTCAAGACAATTAATTGGTAACGAACTAAATTTTATTTTTTCACGACGGATCTGACGCATCCAGACGAAGTGGTTCACAGTTACGATTGTGTATGCGCCGAGACAACGTTCAGGGTCGCTGGCTACTTCAGCAGTGACGAGCGCGTTGCGGACGGAGGCCCGACCTTACTCGGGCTGTGCCCGGCAGGTGCGTCCTGCTCAGGTGGCATCTCCGCCGCCGCCGCCGCCGCCGCCGCCGCCGCCGCCGCCGCCGTCACCGCCGCCGGCACCACCGGCGCCGGGGACGGCGCCGGCGCCGCCGGCGCGCGGCGAGAACGGCGAGCTGCTGTTCCCGGAGGAGACGCCGAACCCTGGCAAGCCGCGGCTGCCGTCCGACAGCCTGGACGAGCAGCCGCTTGACGAGGGCACCCGGTACCCGCAGGTGGCACCGGTGCGGCCCGCGCCGCGCTGGCCGTACCTGGGCCTGCCCGCGCCGCCCTACCCGTCGAACCACTGGTACCTCAGCGATCTGAACCAGCCGGTCGTGCTGAAGTTCATCCAGAAGATGTACCCAGCTCCAGACGACATGGCCGGCGTGCTGGACCTCTCCGTCGGCGGGAGGGACGCTCACGCGTTCAGTGAAGATGAACAAGAGCAGCCGCTGGATCTCTGTATGCGTGGCTGAGCTGGCTACGATGACCGTGGCTGCCCGGCCGCCCGCCCAGAGGAGCCGTTGGACTGCGGCGATCCGGCGAAGGAAGGTGGCCTGGCAACTGGGGAGCAGTGAGACTCACACGTGCGTCCACTCAGGGAGGAGAGTGGCAGCGTTAGTCCCGGCCGGTAGTCGTGGTTGTGCCGATGATGTAGGCAGCGCACGGCTGGCAAGGCACGCTGCGCCGCCTGTCATGTGGCGCAGCGCCGCCTGTTGTGTGACGCAGCGCCGCCTGTCATGTGACGCTTGATCGTGAGGTTGGCTGGCCGCTGGGACCGGCTGACAGGTGTCGCGATGTCCGAGGAAGGCCCGCGCCCGGCGGCCAGCCGGACCGCTGTGTTGATCGCTCTGCTCTCCGGCCGTGCGCGGGTCGTGCCGGTGGTCGCATTTCCAGCTCATGCTGGCAGCTGCGTCAGGCTGACGGCAGAGCTGGAAATCGCAGTCACCAGTACAGCGTCTCTCTTTTTTAGTGGCTCTTGATATGCCAGCATGTAGCAGCGCTTTTAGATGCTCGACCGGCGGCGTCAGTGTAGATATGCGCTCCGATCTGTGACCTGCGAGGCAATACGTGCGTGTTCCGTCAGTACAGTATTACATTGCAGGAGAGTAGTTCTAGTTAATGTGCTGGTCGTTGCATTACCCAAGGTCAGAAAAGTGCTGGCGGCGAGCGACTGCACTATTCCATTTAAAGTTAACATTGGTGATGCGTGTTTACACGAAAGCTTTTACAAACACAGCCCCGTAAAGACTTTTATTCCCATCACTCTCAGGATAGTCATGCCACTGTGATCAGATATCTGTTTCTCCGATTTTTTTATTTAGTTAAAAATTGTCATGGTTCCTCTGAACGTTGCTGGAGCCAAGCACATCATCGACGTAACCTTAATTTCACGAAGAGACACTTGTTAAAATGACCGACTCTGGACCCTGCCATCGCCCAAACGCTGCTTTTCGCCTATTGTACCCGTTTTTCCGTTTTGCATATTGTTGGCAGTGGCAGCGATTGACATGGCATGTTTGTTTTTTCATAGAAAGATTGTGCAATGTCGGCAGTCACAGTTCTGTTGAAAAAGCAACCTGTTTTTTGTTTAATAAACCTGTTGTCACCAGTGTCTTGTGTTCCTTACGGGCGCTGACCTGGAGGACCTATGGGCATGACTGCCAGTGTACAAACATGCTCTCAACACGCCAACATTTTATACCGGTAAAGCAGTCAACTGAAACCGACGTAAAAGAACATCAAACACACACAGCGCACCATGTGAGAGCTATGTTTTCCACCCACCCCTGAACCCAGTTAGGAAGCCGGCCTCCTGTTGGAAACCCTTTCCACCGCTTACCCACAAGTCGAAGTTCATTGCACATGATTGTTCATAGTTGATTGCATTTACGGATCATTCGAACAAGTAGCTTATTCTTAAATTCAGTGCAATCACAGCAGCAGTATGAATGCAAGATTGAAACAACGCGACCACATTCGCAAGCTATCAACCATCCAGTTGTTCACACAACCTTGTCAAAAGCATAATTGCTCCAAATCTGAATCGTCGACACATCTTACACGACGGCAAGCAATAAATAATTGCAAAGCGGGACCGCCTAAATCCTCTAGCCTGGAACAGAACTCGTGGCGGATGCGAGAGGTGGTGGTGACCGGCGACAGGCGTCTCTAGGATGAGGCTGTGTGATATGAAAATGCCTTGCGTACCAACGAAAGGCGAGTGCTGGCAGATCACGGGTGCCCGCCGCTGCCGCCCGGGTGGCACGCTGGCGTACTGCGGTACATGGGTTGAACAGTGAGAAAATTTAAGAAATATAGAGACCAAGAATTTCGGCCATACGAAAAGTTTCACATCATTTACCGCAGACCATAGCGTGTACTGCGGCTTGACTGATTATTATCTCCCTGGCAGATATTTCTAGCTGACGTTGCGCAAACGAGGCACATTTTACATCCATGCGAGTAACCCTCTGCCTGGATTCTGGACTTCCCTTCACCTAGATAAAGCTTGGCCAATCGTCACTGACGACACATCATAGACGAAATCTAGACCAGTCAGCGACTGGCTACCGCCGCGGCCAGGAGTGGTAAAACTTGCCGATTTGGTTGACAAGGTCGGAGACAAAAATGTATATGTGCACTCGAAGCTCGGTGCCAAAGATGTTTTTGACAAGTCATTTTAATGACAGCCACGACAATAAAATACCGTGCACTCTGCAAAACCCAACATGACGTCTCAATACATGTATATTGTGCCTCCGTGATAATGCATTTCATCACATTGCATTTCAGTCAGTAATAGTATATGTATATATATATATATATATATATATATATATATATATATATATATACAAAGTGGTATGCATTACATATATGAATTTAATGTCTTGAATACCGAAATTCATCCTACTGTGCGCAGCCCCATGAAGCTAGGCGTGCTACGCATGCACATACATAGAGCTCATTCGTGTTGTACAGGCCATGTTAAATCCTGTAATTTTGAGGCTAAGTATTTCGGAGCAACAGACAAAATCAACTCGAGTTGGCTGCTAACAGCCATCAAAACTAAGCACGGGCTTGATTCCCTGCTTATTTACGGCCAGCCGGCTGGGCGATGTAATCAGCTGATGGCTGATGACTAATGCAGAATTTTCCTTTGTTATAAAGTAGTACAAAATACCCAATATTAAAAATGCGTTAAGTACGTGATGCACTAGTAAAACAAGTATCACACGCTTAATAGCCAATGGAAATAACACGTGCGATGTCGGCGGCAAGTAAAATTACGTTCGGCAATTACGCGTAAAAATTCATCGGCGCATTTCCGACTGCTGCTCTAAGGCGAAGGTACCAATAAGGACGAAAACTAAGCAATTAGGAGGCTAACAAAGCTGCCCCGTCAACAAATACATGACCCTCAGAGCAGGCAAAAAGAACCCGAGACTAACGAGGTGGGCCCCTAAGCGATTGGTAGTGACCCGAAAGGCTGATGTATGGGGTCTCGGCCAGAGCACAGAAGCCCCTGTGCAAAAAAGGCATTCAAGAGCATCAGATGATATCCTTGTGCGATCAACAGTGCGTGGGCAGGCTAACAAAAAGAGCCTCAATAGGAGTAAAAGGCGCTCCGCAAATGTGATCAGAGAGAAAGAGCCCCGATCAAAGTAGAGGGCCCCTAAGCATCGAATGTCCCGGTGCCTTACTCTGTAAGCGCCCCAGCAACAGCACAAAGTCCTCCAAGCAAGTCGAAAGAACCTGAGACTTATATGAACGGCCCCTGAGCAACTGAGTGTACCGTGACAAATGAGGCCCCGCAAAAAGCGCATAGAGCTTTTCGGGCGAATGGGAAGAATCCGTGGAGAAAACCTGGATCAACCAAGAGTGCCCAGGCATGGAAGCGGGTAGCGTCCCAACAACAGCGTTAGGCCCTACGAGAAAATGCAAAGAAATCAAGGGAAACGTGGAAAGCTCCTTAGCGATCAGATTGACCTGAAAAATGGACATGTAGGGCCAGGGTAATCAACAGCGTAATGCCTCTTGACAGAGAAATGAGCCCCAAAATTTCCCACAAGCAACACCTTCTTAACCAGCGAAGAACAACTTCTGTCTGGTTATGAATTCTTTGCCTTTACTAACAATGTTTTTTGGTGGTCTGTAGGCCCAAAGGCGTCCAATTTTGTTGTGCTTTTGTCGTTCGAAAACTGCGTCCGTTCGGTTGGTTATGAGCCCCTTCGGAGCCTCTAGGTCCCCTCAGCATGGTCCGTGGGGCATGGCCCCGTGCCCTCAATCAACCTCCGCATCCGCCAACGGCCAGAGCAGCTTAATAGATGGAGTCCGCCAAGAAAACAGGGTCATCCATCCAAATAAGAAATGCTCACGACACAATGTGTAGGAATCCAAACGATCTAGTGTGTCCGAGCAGGTTGATATATAGGGTCTCCGTCAAGAGCGTAGAGCCCTCCACTCATAAGGGAAGTACCCAAGACCCAATGTAGAGGGCCCCCGAATGATCCAGTGTGCCCGAGCAAGTTAACAAATAGGGCTTCCAACAAAAACGTATAGCCTTTCATTCAAATAGGAAGCACCCAACACCCAAAGTAGAGGGCCCCCGAATGAACCAGTGTGCCAGAGCAGGTTAACGTATAGGGTCCTCTTCAAGGGCGTAGGGCCCTCCATTTAAATAGGAAGTACCCAAGAACCAGGGTAGAAGGCCCTCGAATGGTCAAGTGTTTTCGAGCAGATTGTCAGATGGCCCCGAAAGCAGTGTGGGGGCCTAAATTCAAACACCAAGACCCAATATACAGGGCCCCAGAACACCCCAGCGTGGCCGAGGAGCCGAGCACATCGGTTCCCGACAAGTGCGTAGGGCCCTCCATTCGGACAGGAAGTACCCAGGACACAATGTGAAAGCCCCCCGAATAATCGAGTGTGTTTGAGTAAGTAAACAGAGGAGGCAGGGCCAACAAGAGCGCTGGGCCTTCCGTTTAAATATGAAATGCCAACGACATGATGTAGAGGGCCCCGAATAATCGAGTGCGCAGGAGCAGGTTAACAGATAGGGTCCTGAAAAGAGCGAGGGACCTCCATCCAAATAGCGTGTACCCAAAAGCAGATGTAGAGATCCCTTAACGATCAAATGGGCCCGGACATCGTATCAGAAGGGGCTCTGACAAAACTGTAAGGCCCTCCATTCAAGTAAGAATACCCAAAACCTAGTGCTGAGGGCCCCGAAAGATGGAGCGTACCCGAACAGGTTATGAAATGACCCCATAAGAGCGCAGGGCCCTAAATTCAAACACCAGGACCCAATGTGCAGGACTATCGAACAATCTAGTGCGACCGAGGAAGGGAACAGAGGGAGCCCCGACAAGTGTGTACGGGCCCCATTCGAATAGGACGTGCCCAAGACGCAATGAGGAGGACCCCATACGATAGAATGTGCCCGAGCAGTTTATCAGATAGACCCCTCACA